TCCTGGTGCGCGTCGCTCTGCTCGGTAGTTGGTTCCACCGCTCCGTGGCCATCCACTTGGCTTGCCAGGCACAGCACGCCGCCTGGCTGTCCCTCCGTCCGTCTGTCTGTCTGTCTGTCATCCCGGCTCTCTTGAGCCGCGGCGATCAGAGCTTCTCTGCGCTGGAACGCGTCGCCCACCGCCACTGGCTGTCACCGTCTCCCGAGTCGGCGGCCCTGCCGAGGAGGTGGCGGCGGCAGTGGCATTGCCAAGACGCGCTCAGCGTCCAGCAAGGCATGAGGGTGAACGCCCGCCTTGTCAGGCTGGTGCTCTGAGGCGGGTCTGTGCTCGAGGCTACAGCAGCACTCGACGATGTGGTATTTCACCGAACCTGCGGGGTGGCCCTTTTGCCCGAATCCGTGTTCCTTTGCGGATTGTTTGAGCGCCTCGTCTCCGTCGTCGTCATCGGCGTCGTCGGCGGCGGCGGCGTCGTGGTGGTGCGCTGCTCTGCTCGGTACTTGTTCCCCTTGTGCAGTGACCACCTTCACGGTCCTCCCATCCTCCTCCTTCTCCTCCCTCCCTCCCCCTCCTCTCCGCCCTTGCCTGCGTTTGGCCCCGCGTTTTGCCACAGCCTCTGCAGCAGGGCGCGGCTCGGAAGAGAAGCCAGGCCAGGCTTTCCATCGCCCCCGCGCGGGGGCCGTTCTGCTCCTCTGCCACGTGGTCGGGAGCGGGACCGCGCGCGCGTGCGCGCGAGCATCTTCTGTCCGCGCTCATCGGGAGCGCGCGCCCGTCCCCAGGGCCGCGTGTGTCGGGCGTTGGGTCGCTGGACCGCTTGTGGAGTACAGCCGTCCTGCTGTTGCGCCGAAGACCGCCGGCCCACCGGAAGACCACCGGAGACCGCCGAGGGCCGTCAGAAGACCGCTGGAGACCGCCCACGGCCGAGGGGCAAGAGCGGGTCCATGGTCGAGCGCGTCGCATTTGTGCTGGCGTTGTTTCTTTAGTCTAGGGATGGTGGGATGGAGGAGGAGGAGGCGGAGGAGGAGGAGGAGGAGGAAGGAGGAGAAGGATGAGCGAGTAGGGCAGACCGAGTGGGAAGAGCAGCAGGAGGAGGATGAGGAGGAGTGAGCCAGAGGAGGGCGCAAGCCAGTGAGCGTGACATCGACCAAACCTCTTGCGGGTACGTGGGGCCATCAAGCGCTTCTGGCGCGTCGTGAGGTTGAGGAATGTTGGGGTCCACCATCGCAGCTGGACGAGGTGTTCCTGATCAGGTTAACGGGCATTCTTCTTGGCATGGAAGAGGCGGGCATTCTCTATTGGTTGTCCAACCCTTCCGGTCTTTATCAGGAAGGCCGAAGGCGACGACAGTCGGCCCATCGTTTTGACATGCCGTGCCATTTGTAAATGGAATCGCGCGTCGCAGGCTCTCCCGTGCTCCTGGAAAACAAGGGGCCAACGTTCGACCGAGCAGGATGGAAGCGCAGCATCACTGCGTATACCTGCCGGTTCGCACAGCAACGTCGAAACGTCAGTGCGGCAAGATCCGCTTGTTCCACACACCACAGGCTTGTTTCGATTGTGCGACCGCGTCGTGTCGTGACATGCTCCAGAAGCAAGGGAACCAATACCCCGCATGCCAGCTGCGTTGGGCTGTCTGGTACCATCGCTGGGCCAGGATAGACTACCTGTCCAGACGCCGCTCCTCATGGCACCGATCCCCACCTGGGGGGCAGGCAAGCCAGCGGGGCCAAGGTTTCGCTGGTGTGGGTGGGGCTGCTTTCACGTGGCCAAAGTCTAGCCTTGCGCCCCCAGAGTGCAGGCCGCACCTCCCCCCTGCCGGCCAGGAGGGGCCTCTGCTGCAGTCGGAGGTCCTCATCCCCTCGCCATCGAGCCGCACCTCCTCCTTCCTCATCCTCCCTCCTCCTCCCTCCTCCCTCCTCCTCCCTCCTCCCTCTCTCCTCGTCCGCCCTCCTCACCCTCCTCGCCCTCCGTCCGCCCTGACCCGAGGTCCGAGGGCGTCGCCAAGGTTGTTGAGCAGCAGCGCCTGGCAGACAGTGCGTACCAGTGGAACGAGGCTCGGGGCGCTTTTTAGAGCCACCGCACATCCAATCGGGAGGAGGGCGACGATGACACGGAGGACGAGAGGGGAACAAAAAGTGGCATAAACATAAAAACTCAGAGGTCCGCGCGGATTTCTCGGATCGGCGCTGGGGCCCCCCGGCGGCGCCTCCGGCGCCGCCCCTGGCGCGCTCCATCCACGCGGACTTCCGAGTTTTCTTTCATGTATATGTCACTTTTTGTTCCCCTAGACGAGGAGCAGGAGGAAGAGCAAGCCGCGGCACAGCAGCCGCAGCCCTCTTTAGGCAGCGGCTGCCGCTGATTCCCCTCCTTTTCTTCCCTCCCCCTCCTCATTCCTCCTCCCAAAGCCTAGCTGCTCTGGAAGCAGCAGTTGTGCTAAATATAATCCTGCTGCTGCTCCTCCACCACTTTCACCTCCTACTCATCCCATCCCCCCTTCCATGTATCTCCTGACCACAGTCTACAGTCAACCCGCATAGTAAGGACGGGCAACCTTCCCAAGGGTACCCTTGCATCCTTACCTCCTCGGTGCATCCTTGGCTATTTTCGTTGGTCGCGTCCCGCTCGAAAACTTCGAAATTTGCTTCCAAGGGCCTTGCATCCTTATCGCGCATCCTTACTCTACGGGTTGACTGTATGTCAGTCGAGGGGGTGCTTTCGTTAACTCCAGGCGTTACAGGGAAAATATGGTAAGCGTCTATTGTATTTGCACGAGGACACTGTTCTCCTGTGAAATGCACGCGGGTCTAGACACTGGGCAAGATGGGGGGCTATTGCCAACGCCACGAGAAAAGCAACTGCCCGGCAAGCAGGCGCCCCTCCACACCAAAGTTGTCTTGATGCATGTGCCCGTGGAGCGCCTAACGACGTCTAAGTTAGCTCGGCAATAAATCTTATCTGTTTCGCGAGTGTGCATTTTGATTGGTGTAGGCTGTTCCAGCCAACCCGTCGAAGCTGGGCAGTCAAGAGCTCGCTTCTGCAGGATATTCTCTCGTCTTTTTGTCGGGCCGTGGGGAGCTTCTTGTTCGCACGCGATGCCAGGGCATGCGCAGGCTTGTGAATCCGCACGCCCCACGCAGCGAAAGCACAGGAGCGAATTGAGGTGGTCTCTCTTTCTCTACCTCCCTCTCTTTCTCTCACGCACACTGCTTCCAGAATGCGTATCGGTTCGCAGAGTTTGTAGCCAATCACTATGCTGTAAAGCTGTATTTCATCGGTGCAGCATTTTGTTGGCACCTGCAGTTCTTCGTGCTTGTTGCGGTGGGGACAACCCTGCATATCATCAGTCAAAAGAGGTGGCATACGCACACTCCGGTCAGGATCGACAGACGCGTGTGATCAGCAAGGCATTCTAGACAATGTTGGCTAGCATCGACCCCAAACAGTTGATTATTGCATTCTCAATGTGCGTTCTGCGGAGTGCTATTTGTTGGCAAGTCTCGGAGTCTTCAATTCCAACGCTCGCGCAGGCATCCCATCCACCCGCCGACAACTTGTTGGCAACAACTGGTCGGCGACGACGACGTTGACGATTACGCTGGTAATATTGATGACGATGGTGAGAATACTGTCGACGACGACGACGAGGGTGATGGTGATGACGACAATGGTAATGAGAACAGCGAGGCAACGATGACGTTGGTGATGATGATGATGGTGATGATGATGATGATGATGATGATGATGATGATGGTGATGATGATGATGATTGTCATGCTCATGCTGATGCTGATGATGATGATGATGCTGATGATGATGCTGGTGATGATGACGAAGTGCCCGCGCACAGAAGTTTGACGAGGGCGGCGACATCGGCGATCACGACGATGATGGGGTTGGGGATGATCTTGACGATGGTGATGATGATGCTGACGATAGCAGTGATGACGCTGACGATGCCGATGGCGATTGGGCTGATGAGGGGATGACGAGAAGAAAGCACGAGCCTGCCGATATTCGAACACCTTGACGTGGCTTTATTGGCAACCACGTGGAGTTCCTATCGTTCGAACAGCTACGCGCTGAACTTATGAGCACAACATTGTTGTAAAGCTATTTCGGCGTGCGCGCGCGGCGGGCGCGCGCGCGTGGCCCGCATGGACTGCTTTGGCAAAGCTCGTGGGACGCGGTGGTGGGCGAACGCTTCCGACACACGCGCGCCAGGGGCCCGCACGGCTTGAGTTGAGGGGAGTCCTCCTCCTCCTCCTCCTCTTCCTCCTCCTCCTCCTCCTCCTCTTTGTCCTCCTCCTCGTCCTCCTCCTTCCCCCCATCCAACTTTTGGTGGTGGTGGCGGAGAACAGGCCCATCAGCTCAGCAGGGCTCAAAACATCTGGCTGTCTCAAGACTCCAGCGAGTGCGCGTGCGCAGAGATCCGACGACTGTGTTGCTCAAGATCCACAGTGGTTTTGACCGTTCGCGAGGAGCGATTTTTTTTTTTGAAAACGTGGAAAGCAATGGCTGTGGAAAGATATTGACGTGCGCTCGCGGCGGCGCGCGCCTGTGCCTCGTAATGCCCTGTTCGCAAGGATTTGTTGAACAACAATCACCTCTTTTATCAGCGCATGTGCACAGCATTGTTTTCATTGACCGGAGTGAAGGGGGATACCAGGATGACCTAAGACGGTATGATTCCACACGGAAAATGAAGCATGAGGCATAGCCTTGTCTCATTTGCAATACGAAAGCGTGGGCGGATACGTCGGAGTTCGAGGCGGGTGGGAGAGTGCATTACGTTTGAGAATTCACGTATGGAAACCGCGGTCGTCAACTCCAACGCCTTGTGCGAACATCCACGCCTCCCACCGGCAACTCGCTGGCGAGGTTCGTCTGACCATGATCTCATCGACGCGAGCGCACGGGCGCGCGACACTCAATCGCACAGGCAAGCGCGTCCTGCAGTTATGCAAATGGCGGTGGCGGTGGGGGCAACCGCAACGTTCCCGACGGCAGTGATGACTGAGATGATGACGTTGATGCCAAAGCGATGAGGCTGCAGATGGGGACGGTCCGATGTCGAGGACTACGATGGTGATGGTGATGGTGCTGATGGTGATGATTATGACGGTGGCAACGGCGATGACAGCGATGGTGTTGACGATTGTGTTGATGATGATGATGAGGATGATGATGATGATGATGATGATGATGATGATGATGATGATGATGATGACGAAGATGCTAATGATGATGAGGATGATGAGGATGATGACGGTGGTGTTGATGGTGATGAGGAGGAGAAGTGCGCGCCCGCAGAAATCTGACGATGGCGAATATGACGAATATGACGGCGGGGCGGGGGTGATGATGACGATGATGTTGACGATGTCAATGATGACAGCGATGTTGACCGACGGGCCGAGGATGATGACGAGAAAGTGCGCGCCCGCAGAAATTAAGACATCCTGACATGCTCTTCTGCTGGAGAAGAAAAAACACAGGGTGCTCGTGTGAGTTTGAACACATCTGTGCTGACATGCTCAGGAACCCGATGGCTCTGCAGCGACTCCCACGTGCGCGCGCGGCGGACTCGAGCGCGTGGCCCGCCTCTCTTTGATTTGAAAGAGTTGGTGGGCGCGCGGTGGCGGTTGAACGTTTTCCACATGCGCGCACGTGGCCCGCGCGGTCTGATTTGACAATGCTTTGAACCTGTGGTTTTCCCGGCATTTCAGCGAGTGCGCGCGGACAGAAGTCTGGAAACTGCTCTGTTGCAAAACCCATGGTTTCTGGCAGGTTTCGGCTAGCCATGTCTTCAGCTTGTCCAAGCATGTAGTTCGAAGGGTTCTGACGCGTGCGCACGCGGCGGCTCGCGCATGCGCCCCGTAACGCACATGTGCGTATTACTACAAACCTTCTTCGATCAACGCACGTGCACCGAATCGTGTTTCCGTTGCAGGAGATGGCAGCTAGGGGGGGCGATGCTGTGGGAAATTTAGGGTGGACGATCGCGGCAAATGAATGTAAACAGATATCCATGGGGACACCGCGAACCCCAGCCTTGTAGGGGGGCGTGATTATAATTCTATGTTGAAAGCGAACATACGGGGTGCAGTTGATTTTGACCGACTTGAAGTAGACCTTTCCACTGCTCATGCAAACATCCCGCCCTCCAGGTCGCGAAGCGATGGCAAGGGTTATAATGTTCCAACCTACTTTAGCCTTGACCACCAGAAACGATTTCGAGCATAAAAAATACCTAAACTCTAGGGCCTTCACGTGTCGGGACCTGGGCGACACTCGCCCGACACTGTCTCGACACTCTCCCGACGCTCTCTCGACACCTCTTCCGGGTGCTCGAAACTATTCCTGGGATGTGGTCCTGAAATACGATGGGGGCGGCATACAGTGCCGTTCTTAATACATGCTCCGCGTGCGGATCATGTATTAAACATGCAGGGGTTAAGTACTAAAAACGACGACGAGTTCATGCACACATTTATCCGTACATTAGTCATGTGTTAAAATCCTACATTTAAAGAAATCCTGTGTGTCAAAAATTACCCTGTAACCTCCAGGGGTCGCGAAGCGATGGCAAGGACAACAGCAAGCGCGACGCCACCGACCACGGCGGTGACCGAGGGCCACGGCCAGGGGCGGCCGCCCGGCGAACACGCCCGGAGGCGCAGGCCACGGCGCCGGGCGGCCATGGGGGCAGCCGCGGGCACCCGCCTTGGCGAGAGCCCAGAGGCGGGTACAGCCAGGACCCCGGGTATGGGGACCCGGTTAGGGCCCTGGGGCCCCTCAATTGGCCAGATTCATCCAACCAGGTTTGCTGTCACTGGTGTTTTGCGGGTGACGGCAGTTAGTGGTTAGTGGAAATGGGACGGGGGGGCGCCCCCGGTACAAATCACTAGACCAGGTTCCACTAAACCCAGTTCTGCCAACGCCCGACAGAGGCACGAGCCACGCTCGGCTATCCCGAGCCCCATGGGAGGCCACCCTGGAGTTGTGGAGGTCGATCAATGGAGAGGAAGCGTGCTGTCAAATGATCCCCAGATGTCTGCAACATGTCTCAGACATGGTTGAAACATGTAAAAACAGGCTTGAATCATGTCTAGAACATCTTCAAACGCATTTCAAGCACATCTGAAATTCAACGATAGGACTGTTAGGGTGTCCATTGTCGTGGCATCCACAACCTCGGAGCCTCGGAGCCATTTGGGGCGCCCTGACCGCTCGCGCCCCCTCCAACAGAAGCCCGCAGGGAGGGGATGTGAAGGGCACAAACTTCCCGAAGGGAGGGAGGGGCTGTGGAGGAGGAAGGACAGAACTCGAAAGGTCAACTACGCCCGGAGGGCTTGTGGGATTACCCACACGCGAAGTCAGAACTCCGTCGTGCAAGCATTGTGCAGTGATTCTCTCTCATCATTCCCGCTTGGCCACAAGTCGTACCAATATGCGCGATGTTTGTTTCGTTCCGACTTTTGTGCCTCGCATGAGACCGACTGGTCTCAGTCGACGCGTACCGAGCTCGTGTGGTAGTTGTTTGATGACGCTGTGCTCAGGACGACTGTGTTTGTTCAGGTAATTTGCATGCCAGTTCGGTTCTGTTCGAATTCTAATTGGTATATTGTTGGCGCGAATTGCACAACAAGGCCGCCACTCCGAGGCTCAGTGCCTCCGCCAGGCGGTGGGTCCATTGCCGCCGATTCGCAGAGATTGGAGCGGCTACACAGTCACAGTTTCCCCGAGATGCCAGTTCAGATATCCGAAGGGTTTCGCCCCCTGCCGCCTGCCCCCTCTCTATCAGACTGGGATATCTCAGAGTCGCGTCGAAGCGTGTCGGCGCTGCCTTGGCGCATCTGGGAACATCATGCGGGTGCGGATAGGAACCATCAGCGCATATTGAGACGTTGGCGTTATCCTAGTGGCTTTCGGCTCAACCCGCTACCGTGCCTGGGTTGTGGGTCTGAGGTCTCTTGTATATGTGTTTGGGTGTCGTGGGGAGCCTGTTGGGGCCTTTTGGAGGCGGTTTGGGCGCTTCTTGGGGGCCTCTTGGGGCCTCGTGGAGTATCTTTTGGACCTCTTGGAGGCTTCTCAGGCGCCTCATGGGGTATCTAGGGACCTCTTGGCGGCCTTTAGGGGACTCCTGGAGCCTTCTCGGGGCTTGTCGGAGCGCTTCTTGGGCTATCTTGGAGCCCCCCTGGGCCGTCTTGGAGCCCTCTTGTACGCGTCTTGGGCTGCCTTGGGGCGGTCTTGGAAGCTTCTTCAGCCGTCTTGGAGCGTCGGAAAGCCCAAAATGCGAGAAGGCCAACATCCTTAGAAAACCTGCGTAAAACTTACCGTTTTGACCTCTTGGTGCTCTCTCGGGAGGCCTCTTGGAGCGCTCTTGGGACCTCTTGGGGCCCCCCTTGGGCTGTCTTGGGACCATCTTCGAGCACCTCGAAGCACTCTTGGCCTCGGCAATGCAAATATGGTGTAAATTGCGAAGGTCCATGGCTTCGGGAATGCGAGTATTGTATAATGTACGGGGGGGTGTTGGGACACAAGAATTATCTAATGTGTAAGGGTCTACGGCTTCGGAAACGCGAACGTCTTGTAATGTACAAAGGAATTTTGGCTTCGGGGGCGCGAATCTCACGTATTCTTATGTGTCCCGCGCCCCTCCGGGAATTCAGAGCACGTAATCCGCGGGTTGTGAATTTCTGATTTGGGGCTCCCCCCCCCTCGCGCGGACTTCAACAATTGGAGACTTGAAACTGCAACTGGCGCAGGGAGTAGCAACCTAACCCTACAGCCTGGTCCCACAAGGGGGCCGGCGGATTTGGCGACCCGGTTGATCGGACGATGTGCCGAGTCCGATCGGGGGGTTCTTGCCAGGTTTACGAGGACGAAGCTTCTCTACAAGGACTGGACGCGCTCTTGTCTGTCCGCCTGTAGAAAAATGAAGGAGACCACGTCGAGGATGATGATAAGATCCAGGGTTCGGCAGATAACGGGGAGCAGAAAGAGAGGGAGAAGGAGTAGGCGGTGAGATACGCAGGAGGAGGAGGAGGACAAATAGTATAATAAAGGAGCACGAGTAGCCTGGAGGACGTGGAATGATGATAAGAGTAATGAGCGTAATGGCATGATCGTAAGCAGTAGCGGTCGAAATCGATATTGAGGAGGAGTAGATGGAGGGGAAGAATGAGGTTGAGTAAGAACTGTTCTTTGTCGGGAGTGATGGCTACTGGGATCGGAGCATCTGCCAGTCCCACGGCCACCTTTAGAAGAATTGCGTGAAGCAGTTGATTGAAGTTTGTTTCTTATTTGGTAATCGAGATGCGGGACTTCAAGAAAAAAGGCATGCGTGCGGACTCGCGTTTACACTATCATATCCAGCCGACTGCGGCAAGCCCCGCCAGCGGTGGCACAAGCAGGCAGGGTATCGCAGTCGTTTCCACTGTCTTTCTCGCATCGTCTTCTATACAAAAACAGTCAGTCGATAGGCGCCCCTTCGCTTTGAGCCGGGACAATTATAGAACGGAATCGAATTCATTTTGCTTCTGAACAGTTCTTCTGGACATGTGTTGCATTCACACATGACCGTGGGCCTCCGCTGGGGAAAAACATTGCGGCGCATGCGGACGGCTCGCAAATGATCCTTTCCTTCGACTAGCCATCGTTTGGTCGTTGTCCGCCCGCTCCCCTTCCCTCATTCCTCCCCCTGCTGCCCTCCTCCATGCCAATCTCCCATTCCCTTTTTTCTTTCCCTTTCGAAACTACTGTGCCCGCCGCCAGTACCCCGCCGCATCTCGCGGCCTTGTTGCCCCCAGGCCAGGATTAGTTAACCCCGGCAGTGCACCGCAGATCCCGCGAATGTGTCGCGCGGGTCTCCTGAGTGGGCCCTCGGCCAGCGCGCAAGGGGCAGGGGTATAGAAAAAACGTAGAACAAGTAATCTTTGTTGGGAATGCATGAACGCAGCCAGCGCTTTCAGAACGAATTTGCGCGGCGCTGAAGCGAGAGCCACATTTTGAAAACTACCTGCCTTCCATCCGTGAAACGCTTGCAACGTTTTCAAAAAGAATGTGCGCGGCGTTGAGGCGGGAGCAGGATTTTGAAAACGAACCGGCCTCGATCCGTGAAGGCCTTGCAACATGTTCAAAACGAATGCGCGCAGCGCTGAGGCGAGAGTCACATTTTGAAAAACGAGCCCCCCTCAATCCGTGAAGCGCTTCCAATTTTTTGAAGCGAATGCGCACGGCGCTAAGGCGAAAGCCACACTTTGAAAACGACCCGCCCTCAATTCGTGAAGCCCCTGCAACATCTTTCAAACGAATGTGCGCGGCGACGAGACGAGAGCCACATTTTGAAAACGAATCGCCCTCCATCCGCGAAGCCCTTGTAAATTTTGTAGAACGAATGTGCGCGACGCCAAGGCGCGAGCCACATTTTGAAAACGAGCCGCCCTCAATCCGCGAAACTCTCGCAACGTTCCCAAGACAGACGCGCGCGACGTTGAGGCGAGAGCCACATCTTGAAAACGAGCCGCCCTCCATCCGTGAAGTTGTTGCACGTTTGTTGAAACGGAATGCGCGCGGCGTTGAGGCGACAGCAACATTTTGGAAACGAGCCGCCCTCCATCCGTGAAGCTCTTGCAGCGTTCCAAAACCAGCGTGCGAGGCGACGAGGCGAGAGCCAGATTTTGAAACCGAGCCGCCCTCCACCCGCGAAGCCTTGCACATTGCTGACAGGAATGCGCGCGCGGCGCTGAGGCGAGAACACCATTTTGAAAACGAGCCGCCCTCACCCCGCGGATATCTTGCAACGTTTTCAAAACGAATGTGCGCGGCGTTGAGGCGAGAACCACATCATCTTCTAGGTGCCTGCATAACGATGTCCGGCGCGGGAAGCGTTCTCGTCTTGCCGGAGGGGGGGGGTCTTAAGTATTGGCCAGGATTATTTCGCACGTCCTCGTGTGTCGCCCTCCCTCATCGGACCCTTTTATAACGACTTTTAGGAATCACGCGCTGCACCATGGAGGAGCTTCTAGAAGTTGGTATACCCGCACAGACATACATGACAATTTAGGACACCTCCTTCCCGAGTTGTGCCAAGTTCCGGCCACTACTGAGTCGGTGGCCAGGGCGGCGCTCAGAGATTCGATGCTGACGTACTCTCTTTCCTCTTCATCCCCTTCCTCCTCCGAGATCTCCTCGAGTTCTCCTCCCTGCGCCCTTTCCAGCTGCCTCGCGGCCCCTCCGCCCGCCAGCGCTGCTCGCGGACATAGAGGGCCTGCGCAGAGCAAAGGCCTTTCCGGCCGCTGCGCGCGCGCACGCGAGCACACGCGGCCCCGGGCCCCCCTCCACGAGAGAGGGGAGGAGCGTTGCCTTCGGCAGGGAGGCAGAAGAAGACTGAAGAGGGAGACGGAGGCGAAGGAAGAAGATGGAGAGGCTGGAGGGAGGAGGGCGGCGGGAGGAGTGAGGAGGGAGGAGGGAGGGAGGAGGAGAGAAAGTAGAAGGAGCAGGCAGGAGCAGGAGGGGGAGAGAAAGGGAGGGAAGGAGGAGGAGGAGGGGGAGGAGGAGGCGAATGGAGGCGAGAGGAGGCAAGAGGAGGCGAGAGGAAGCGAGAGGAGGGCGTAGGGGCATGAGGGTCGAGAGGCAGAGCGTTATAGGGGGAGAGAGGTGCAGAGGAAAATGGAGGCACAGAGGCCAAGAACCTCTGGGCCCATGCGTCCAGACCGCCTGCAGCCAGACGGTGTGTGCCCGTCGGGGGGTCGTACCGAGAGCTTATTGCGAAAGCGGAGTGCGAGAGCGGCTTGTGAGAGCGGCTTTGCTCACTCATGAGTCCCCCCCTGGGTGCTGCCAACTGCGCAGGTGTGGTCATTGGCGCGTGCTCCAATGAGGTCCAGCGGAGCGACGCGCCACGCACACTCAGGCTGGATTTCGCGCTCCCCCATGGGTGCTGCCAACTGCGCGGCTGTCGCCACCTCTGCGTGCTCTTGGGATTTGTAGCGCAGCGACGCGACGCGCACACTCGGGTTGGACCTCGCGGTCCCCAGAGGCGATGCCAAGTGCACCAGCCGTCGCCACGCTCGTGCGCTCCGTGGAGGCCCAGCGGAGGGACACGCTGCGCAGACCCGGACTAGACCTTCCGCTCCGGGGAGGTCCGCCAGGGCGCCGCGCCACGCACCCCAAATTTGGACCTCGCGCTCCCCGGGGATGCTGCCAGCTGCGCAGCTGGCGCCACTCGTGCGGGCTCCCGAGAGGCCCAGTTGAGCGAGGCGCCACGCGCCTTCAGATATAGACCTCTGGAGGACGATCAATGGAGAGGAAGTATGTGGCCAAATAGTTTCCAGATGTCACGTTTAGAACATGCTTAGAACATGATCCGGCATTTTGAAGGCATTTCAAATTCAATGAGAGGACTGTCAGGGTGTCCATTGTCGTGGCATCCACAAGATTAGACCTCGCGCTCACGGAGGACCATTTACCATCTCCGCAACTCTCCCCAGCTGCGTGCGCCCTTGGGAGGTCCAGCGGAGCGACGCGTTGCGCACACCAAGACCTGACCTCGCGCGCTCTGGAGGGGGGGTTGCCAACTGCGCAACTCTCACCACCGATGTCTATGCGAGTTGCCTTGATGAGGGAAGTGTAGGAACAAGCAAGCCATCGTTCGAATGGGTAGGGAGGTCATGATAAGTACAGCGCGGTGTTCAGCACTGTTGTGTATAGCCGCCCAGTGGATCGAAAGGGACATGGCCCTGGCCACTCCCTCCGAGTTGTCCAATGAGCATGGGGTGCGATCGCGCGGGGGTGTCGGAGTAGGGCGCGGCGGGGGGGTGGTCGCTTGAGGGTGGGGGTGGTGGGGGGGGGGGGCAGAACGGTCCGTCGGGTAGCGCTTGCCAAACAATGTCGGGATTTGCGTTGGAACACGATCGGAAACGGGAAAGAATGAACAGGAAAGGGAGACCAAACAGGAAAGGGAGACAGCGAAAACGAAATGGAAGGGAAATGATTATATTTTCACAAAAGAAGGGAGAGGAAAGGAAGCCCCTCATAACGCAAGGGAGAAGATCAAGGAGAAGAGGTAGAAGGAGAGAGAAAGAGAGAGGGAGCGAGAGAGAGAGAGAGAAGGAGACACACAAGGAAAGGGAGAGAAGGGTGTGCCGAAATGTGTGGCGGGGACGCATGCAGTCTGCGCCACGGGGACCCTCGGTGGAGCTCCCTACGGGGCCACGAGGCGTGTGAGGGGTGTGCCGAAATGGGTGGCGGGGACGCACGCGGGCTGCGCCACGAGGATCCTCGGTTGAGTTCTTATGGGGGTCACGAGAAGTGTGAAGGGGGGTGACGGGAGGAGGGAGGGGGAGGAGGAGGAGGAGGAGGAGGAGGAGGAGGAAGAGGAGGAGGAGGAGGAGAGTCCGCAGAAATTCTGGTTCAAGGCTAAACGTTGTGAGGAATTTTAGACGTCCGACAATCAGCGATGAGCTTTGGCATCCTCCCCGCAGGTGGCCCTAACCACCTTGCTGGCCGACAGGCGGCGACGGCGCGGCCCGCGCCCATCCCACCTTTTTTTCTGGTGTGTGGCCTGCTGATCGTACTGATCGTTTACTGCAGGTGCGATGGAGGTTGCCTCCTCCGTCGCGGGCGCTGCAGGCAGGCGGAGCAAGGCCGCCAGCTGGGCAGGAACAGTTCTGATGAGGCACCACAGCGCAAGGTCCCTGCGAAAGACGACGGCGCCGAACGATTCGAGAAGGTCGGGGGACATGACTTGGAGATTGGCAGCGAAGGAGGGGACTGATACGATGGATACTCTCTCGCACGATTTCTGGCTGACGAAAAGATGTGTCCGAATTTGGAAGGCGCCCGATCTCCGATTCGTCTAGGCACACCACACGCCGTCGAGGATGGCGTCCTTGGCACACCTGTGGGAGCGGGCAGCGGACATGGTGGCCGTGCTGGGCTTACGCCCCGCGTCACTTCAGGTTCGGAGATTGGGGCGACAGCGAAAGCGTCCGCTGACCCATCGAGCAGGCTTCCTGGTCGTCAGCGCGCCCCTGTTCCGCATTAAGGGGAGAACGGTCAAGGCCATCCGCGACAGTGCATCGACAAGACCCGCTCTGATGTCATGGAAAGTCTCAAGGTCATGCAGCAGTCCCTCTCACCGCTCAGTGGCACCATGGCGGAGCATTGCGCGAGCATCGACAAGGCGGCGGAGAAGTGGATGTGCAAGATCGAAAACAAGGTGCAGGTGCACGACGCTCGCATCGGCAAGTTTGAGAAGGAGCTGCAGGAGGTCAGGGACCTCCTGGGCCTCATGCGGCGCGAGGAGCCGACGCAGGACCCAGCGGGCGGCGGCGGCGGCTTCGACAGGAATATCGACCCAAACATCATCGTGGCGCGGTCCCGCGACACGCTACCGAGGGCTGCTGTGGCCGATGCCGCGGCCCCATGGCTGGCGGACTGTAACTTCGCGGAGGGCGACTACATGATGGCAGGAGAGCCCATGGACAAGCAGTACCAGGTGGTGGTCCGCGGCCAGAAGGGCTACGCAGCGAGGAAGGTCAGCCGGGCCATCAGCGCGCTCAGGCTGCTTTGCAGAGGCGCGCTCTGGAGGCTGCTTTGCAGAGGCGCGCTCTGGAGGGGGATCTCGGCGCCGTCACCAGTGGGCGAAGCGGTGAGGGAGCTGTCGGCCCACCCCGTCAAGAGCCCAAAGACGGTCGCGAGAGGCTTCGGCTGCAGGAAGATCGCGCGGACCATCGCTGACCAGTACCCGAGCAAGAATTACTTCGTGGATCGCGAGAAGGGGGGGTCAGCTCGTCGCGGAAAGAGCTGGCGCCCTTCGAGCCGGCGCCTGGCCAACAGGTGCCCACCGCTCACTTCAGCGGCAGGAGCGCGCAGAGCCTCGGCATGGACCCTCAAAAAGTCAGGAGGATTGTCTCGGACATGTCTGCGGAGTCGGAGGCTACCGAGTGGCGCCCCAGCAGACTCTTGGCCGCGCGGCGAGGGCCATCGACGGCCGGGCCGAACCGGGCCTTCAATTGTTGGAACTGGAGTGCTCTGCTACGCAATGACCTTTTCCTCCGCAGCCAGAAGATCTCGCACCTCCGCCCCCCTCTAGTCCCCGCCGCGATCTCGGGCCTCCAGGATGTTCATGGGGCTCTCGCGAAGGCTAAGGATGCGATGTGGCAGATCCAGGAGGTTCCGCACGTTTCATTATTTTGCCCCGCGGCGCTGCGCAGCGTGCGATGGACGGAACGAGGGTACCTGAGGGGCCTGCAGAGCGCGCGCGTCGTCGCGACCATCACGGAGCACGAGTGCAGGAGGGCCCTCCCGATCTTTTCTTGCTTGGGGTGCTCGTGATAACAGCCAAGTTCGGGGGCTGGTTCCAGACCCTGCGCGAAACGCCACGGCGGTTTTAGACGAATCAGGGGACTGTTGGATTTCGCATAACAGCGCGCGCAAGTTTTGGCGCAATGGGGAGGGAAGACGGAAGGTCACCCAGGCGACCGGCCACGATTTCAATCTAGCACGGCGCGCCCCTGAGCGCGCGCAGGCGGCGGCGGCGGGAGATTTCGAAGTCGGCGCTGGCCCTCTGCCGCCCGCTGTGCCAGACGAGGAATTGCGCCCCAGATTTCACGGGCGGCGAGCTCGTCGGGGCCCGACCTGGCAAGATTTGTTTGCCTAGATGGCGTCGAACAGCCTGGCCCGACGCGCTACGGCTCGGCTGGCAATTCGACTAACATCGCCGACAGGGCCCCTGCGTCTCCCCCAGGGCGGGGCCCGATTCAGTCGAATGCGTTGGGGGTCACCAAAGACTTCGCAGAAGCTTTACATCGCAAGGGCCAATCGGACCTCGCGCCCGCATCGGTGGACTTCAAGAGCACCCCTTGGGCCCCAGCTCAAGAACGCCCCATCCCAAAGGATCTGTTTGCCACTCAGTACTTCAGGACTTCATGGAGGCCCATCTGAGAGCGGTGTCTTGGGATGGTCTGTCCCCGCCGCTAAAGGTAGACTCGTTCAAGTATCTCACGGCGGGAGGAGCTGGGTTCGCACGGGGCGCCCTTCTGCATCGTGAGCCGAAGTCGAGGCTCGCTCGAAACATCCTGCACCAGGGCATCGCCAGGACAGTCCGAAGACAAGATGCGCAGCTAGGTTCCACTTTTCTGCAGGCGCTCCTCAGTGCCCACTCTATGCTAGGCTTCGACGCGCGCATCGGGCGCCCCTGGCTGCGAGATCCCGATAGGTCTGCAGCGGACCCGGGCCAAGCGCAGCCAGCGGACCTCGGCGCGCAGCAAGCAGCTTTCGCTG